CCTTGACACTGACCTAATTGTGAAAAGGAAATGATCATAACAAAAACAAATCTTCAGAAATATTTTATGCATCTCGCAGCGTGATAGCTTATAATGAGTTTACACATAGGATGGGACAAGTGTATTAGACATTCCAAACAAAATGGCTGCCTATTTGAAACGAGAGACCACTGTAAGCACATACTTTGATTTTCTTTTACTATACGGAGAATGGTCGCACTGCGCAGCTTTCTGAGTGCCTTTTAAAAGGAGATAGAAAACTCCGCCATTTTGAACCCTTATTACGTGTTGCCTACATCTTGGCGCAATATTTTTAATAGGTGCGTTTTAATCATCCGCTTCTGCTTCGGAATTGTCAGTTTTCTTGTTTTAATCTGACAGGTTAAAACGACTAAACCGACAATTCTGGAAGCAGAAGCGGATGATTAAAACGCACCTGATATTTTGCGTGATGCTGTCAGTGTCAGTGAATATTATTTTATGAAGTCACAGTTTATTGCTAAAGAATCAGTTAGCTCACTCGGACCAGTTGAAAGTTCCAAAATAACATCCACTCCAGGGATACAAATTTAGGATACGCAGAAGACTGCTGTTTTATTATAGGCGGTTGTCATATATTGTATTATCCGAGTTGCACAGTGTATAAACTGAAACATTGAGATCCAAAGTGCCGACGCAGAGTGAGCGATCTGATTCTTTAGCTGTAAACTGTGTCACAGGGTTCAAAATGGCCGCACCCTATGTTGGGCGTGTCGGACCTCTCTCTTGCCTCGTATAGTAATCAAAGTATGTGACTGTAAGGCACATGATAGGTTATAATATGGCAATACTGTGGGCCTGGTGGTTTGATAGGGTCAATAATATAAATAGTTATATAGATTGATCATCCTTGTTTTTAAAAATAAACATGAAGGAAAAATGTAGGAAATTATTTTTTTTAATACTCAAAGGCTGATAATTGGTTTTAAAACACATTTTTATTAAACCGATTTAAATTAATAAACACTTTCCAGGCAATATGGCCACTCGCAAATGACCTGCTTTGAGTAATCATTGACCCTGTCAATGACGAGGCCCACATGGTTGTCATATCTAAACTATCAATTCCCGCTGGCAGCATTTTGACAGGTTGTTGGAATGCCTAATTACATAAAGATTTATAATGGTCGAAAATGGATAAAAAAAATTGATGATTGTCAAGTCAACGACAACGATTCAATGAAACTAGACATCGGGCCTCATTATTTAAACCAGGCGATATCGTGGCCATTGAAGCTTGCTGGCGGAGGAAAACTAAGGACAAAATATAAACGGCCTTACATAGTTTAAAATGTATTACCACATGAAAGCTATCAACTTCACAAAAAGGGACATCAAACGGTAATGGCCGCTTACAATCAATTAAGGCTATGATAATTATAAAAACGAGTGTCAATCCAACAATATTAAATTAAAATAAAAATAATTGTTTTTTTTTTGTAACTGACGATGCCATTCCCATCAAATTTAACTGAATAAATCACAATAAAGTAGGACTGGTGTTTAGTACTGTAGCACTCGAGTATAGTGCCAGAAGAACTAAGATCAACGTAGTAGGCAGTACGCGAATAGACAGTGGCAGTACCACATCACCACTATCCCGAATTAAACCATTTAAAAAGTAGTTTAATTCTTTTTATTAGGTATTAAACATCCCTTCCATTAACACATATACAAAAGTTCTCTACACACAATTACTTACCCAATATACACTACACCTAATTACGGATCGACTGAAACTTGCCAAATATACAACCAAAACAACAATATAAACCTAAAAATATTTTACGAACTTACTTGATACCTATGAAAACATCCACTCAGGATATTTATGATAACGAATTAACACCTCAACTTGGGGTAAGAGCTCGTGTCTAAATTATAATACTAATAAAAATTTACATATACATATGTTAAAACAAATTATTTTTTTCTACAAACGTCAAAAAATAACAAGGTTCGCGCATTGACAACAATATGCGAAGTGACCCTTTTTTTAATTTTCCTTCGTTACCATGACACCGTGCGCGAAGTAGTGTGCGAAATACTTCGCACACTGCATGTAAACTATATGGGATTTTTATATCTTAACCTTTATGTTCCTCAATCAAGCAAAAATCCAAGAAATCATTTATTTATTAATGTATAACAATAATTAAGGCTTTCAAATTGTAAGAAAATTTAACACTACCTAATTTTATTTATTATTTACAATGTTAACATTAATGGTGCAGCCAGTGCACGAACCAATATTTATTCCTAAACCAGATAACTCAGATTCAGCTCGTGATATCGTAGTTTTGGGAGTTGGAAGACTATCCATTTTTGATTTGCAAGCAACTGCCGTAATGTTGACAGCACTTGATCCTGAAATTTCAGTGTCTAAAATTTTATTTGATAATTGAATTTTATTGTTGATAGAATCTTCCACGTATACTTCGACCACAGTCGAAGATTTCCATCCTCCATGTCGCTTTAAAAACATATATCGGCCCCCGTATTAGCAAGGAGTGTGGCTGATGTTCTCCGAAAACAATGCCCGTGTAGGCATCAGGATTTGGTAATTTTAGGTGTTTTGCTATTAAGCTAGGCATCTTTTCAATACTATTTATTCCAACAACTTGGTTAAAACATCTTTTATTTTGATACTTCAAAAACAATGGCGAATGGTAGCATAACTTGGACGAAGATTCGTATATTTTCGGTAAATGTCAATATAATCTAAATTTGAAACTGTAAAAATTCGTTGTATATTCGTTTTTGTATCGGGTACTTTAACAACCAAAATGGAATTTTTATCTTCTATGTCATCGACCGTCCTTTTAGTGAGTTCCTCACGGCGGCAAGCACCCGAAATACCCAGTATTAAAACAAATCAGTAATTTAAAAAACACATAAAACAATCATCAAAAATCTACTTTAACCAACAAATAGGTTTCATCATCTGCCTCTCTAGTCAATACCTTAGATTTCTTAGGATGGTTTCCAACTGACAATTTTTTCAAATATGGAACCAACTTGGTAAATTTCTTAAAATCCACGTTTTCTTTAACATTGAGTGTTGCTTTCAACACAGAATATATTGCCCATAACGTGGAAGACTTCAGCTTCTTAGACTTCTCTGCAAAATATGCCAACAGCACATTTTCGGATATTTTTCTGGCTTTATTTGCCACTCTTTAAATTGCTGATATTCATTTTCATACTGGCGCCTCGATTTCTCCGGTAAAAGATTTGAAATTACTGAATTGGCCGCATCTGTCAAGTTAGGTGGGTTACTGCTTACTTCATCGTCGCTCGAAATTTCCATTATTTTACAGTTATAAATATCACGCACGAAATTGACGCGAATAAATAGTCACTCCAAAATAATTATCAAGAACTGTCACTTTGAAATAATTGTCAACAAATGCCATTTTATTTCCATAGTTACAGTAATTACTTGATTTGGAAAAACAGTTTAAGCCAGTTCAATACTATTTTTCATATTAAGCTAAGCATGTTACTTATTTTAGAATAATATTTTTGACGTTTGTAGAAAAAATTTTGTTTGCATCTCATGCGCGAAATACTTTGGTGATCTCGACTATTTTTTTTAACTCGGCTGCGCCTCGTTAAAAAAAATCAGTTTTTGATCACCAAAGTAGCATTTCGCGCACTAGATACAAAAATAACTATTTATTTTTGCTCAGCTATGATTTCTCTACTTATCTCTGCTTGTCTTTGCTATACAGTCTTCGCGTTTCTCTGCTTTTTTCGACTTGTCACCGCTTTTTTCATATCTGTTATCTGCTATTCTTTTACTTTGCCACTGTGTTTACTCATGTTCGTTCTTCATAACTTCTGAAATTAAATTTTCTTTCGATTTCTTTTATTTTAATTGCTTTGATTTGTGCCCACACTTTAAACAGCTCATCGAAGGATAGATTAAAGCTTAAGTTCAAAATTTGGTGTTTTTCTCTTTATCCGTTTTTGAGTTATCTTCAAAATTCAAAATTTGCACTTTTCATCAACTATCTCAAATTAGGTCCATTTTAGGTAAATCATGTATAGAGACAAAGTAGTAGAGAATGTCATCATAAGCAACTTTTTTCATAATTCCTATACTTTCCTTATCTGTACATGGAGAGGAAAGTAAAAAATGGCCGTAACAAATTATTTGCGGTATATTTAAAAACATATTTCATTTAATAAAAAATAACTTTTATCCATTAAACAGATGGGTGAAGGTCGACCTTACTTACGGATCCTGGACTACTAGTTTAAAAACAGAGTATGGTAACTTACTTGTACAACTTTCTTAAAGACCAAGTTGACAATTGAATAAAATAGGAATTGTTTTCAGCATTAAATTCGGCTTTTCCGGCAGAATTCAAAACAAAATAATAAAGTATAAAACGTTTCCAATATATTTTAGTGTTTCTGTTAATTTTATTAACTTCAACGGTTCCTAACTCTAGGTTTAAAATCCAAATATAAAACACAAAATGTACAAATAAAACTGACAGTTCCCAAGTTCTTATTGACAGTTGTGAGTAAATTTTGGCGCTGCTATTTAAAATAGACGAATCAAAGACCCAGTAGAAAGGGAAACTAATAGAAAAAAGGGTCCATACTGGCTTCAAACAGATTCAGACCTTTAGTTATTTGTTTGTTTATCTAAAACAGGGACCAACTTACTGAACTTCTAAATATATTCCTGGAATTTTGGTTGTATAAAAAAATGCAATTAAATGTTTATCAGTATAAATTTTTAAATCCAAATACATTTCAGTTACTCTACTTCGATTTTACAGTCTCGAACACGATTATCTTAAAGAAACTTGCACTAGGAAATTTTTTTGTCATTAATTTAAGATCGTAGAAGATTTGGTAAGAAAATTTCACACCAAAATTTTCAAATCAATATTCTAATTATAACTTATTGGTAGTAGGTACTTACTTTAAAAATGTGTTTGTAGGTTAGGTTAAATGTAGCCAAAAAAAAATGTGCTAACAGAAATATGAGTCTGGTTATCGTTGACGAGAAATATAAGCATGATGCCATTAGAAAAAAACTTACAGAAATGGGTAAGTTTGCCTGTTTTTATACAAGAACATACAAAAGATAAATACTCTTTCAAAATTCTTGAACCTACCCGATCGAGATATCTATTTGATAGGAATTTTTATATCAATATATTAACAAATAAATTATGATTTAGTTGACACGCAACAGTTTTATATTGGAGGAGACAGGAAAACTAAATATGGCGAAAATCATTACAACGTCGAATTTCGATGGTATAATAACGAGAGGCTTGGCTTCAGACATTTTGGCAAGGGAAGACCTGATAATACACTGGACTTTGAAAGAAATCCTCGTACACATCTTTCGTTGCAAAACAATAAAGAAGATTTATTATGGTGGGATACAAATATCAAATCACCATTAAGGTACATTTGTGAAACGCCTAGAACAGATTATATTAAAGGTAAGTTTCTTTAACAGAATCTATTTTCTATAATTTTTATTTCATATACGATTTCTCTAAAATTGACCGTAATAAAAAACTTTAGGAAAAAGTGTATACTTTAAATTTTTCAGAATTTTCGTAAGCAATGAATTAAATAAAAAATTATTTTTTATTATTTGAAACAAAAAAAAAAATCCAAATATCCATATCTCAAAGTGGTCCAAAGTAGATTAAAGGGAAGTAAAAAGCTCAAAGTCTGTCGACCACATAAAATTATTAGGTTGCAAGCGCTTTCGACCTAAAAGGTCATCATCAGGCAAAAAAATTTTTTTTTTGTAAGTGAGTAGGTACAATCTGCAATAATAATTTAAGGTATAACAAAACGTTTTTTATAGAAATGCTAGGTGTCTTACCACTATGTGTCCACAGAAAAATAAGTATGTTGAATTAAAAATTTAAGTAAATTGTAAAAATTGTAAAAAATTGTAAAAATTGGCACACACTGCCTCCCTCATTCGAGGTTGGATCCTGTTCAATTTTGAATTTCGCTTGCCTCCATCTGATGAAGGTGGTTTCGAAAGAGATCCTGTCAAATTGTTTAAATTTATATTATAAAATTTGTCTCAAAACTAATTTAACATATTCAATTTAACTAATGTCAAATTTAATTATTATTAGCTCAACCATCATTGTAACTACGTGTCTTCCATCATATGTCAGTTGTCAAATGTCGTAAATTCTCCACCATTTTCTCATTTAACTTCACCGTTGGATGACGAAAGTGTCAAGTGAATTTTTCTAAAAAAGTTAAGTTAATATTTAATGATACCCCTTAAGCTTAGGCTTAAGGGTGTACACGAGCGGGACTCCGTCTACCCCTTTTGTACTGGGGATAGGGGGAGTAGCGGTATTTCACCTTGCCCAAAAGTAACACTTTCCACATGGTGCCTTAAGCACACATGTGGAACTTTAAAATTGATCTCTTTCGAAACCACCTTCATCAGGTGGAGGCAGGCGAAATTCAAAATTGAACAGGATCCAACCTCGAATTAGGGAGGCAGTGTGTGCCAATTTTTACAATTTTTTACAATTTTTACAATTTACTTAAATTTTAAATTCAACATACTTATTTTGCTGTGGACACATAGTGGTAAGACACCTAGCATTTCTATAAAAAACGTTTTGTTATACCTTAAATTATTATTGCAGATTGTACCTACTCACTTACAAAAAAAAATTTTTGCCTGATGATGACCTTTTAGGTCGAAAGCGCTTGCAACCTAATACATTTATGTGGTCGACAGACTTTGAGCTTTTTAATTCCCTTAAAAAAAAATATCAATCTCAAAGGGTTTTAGCGAAATGCAATATTACAATATAAGTGTAACTATGTATTCTTATTTATATTTTAACAATTGTTATTTTTGCTAAGTAATTTGTAATGTCTTTAAAACAATAAATAGGACCAAGTGCTTGATTAAGATTAGGTGGAATTTTATGGATATTCTTTGTTGAAAGTTTAGACATTTAAGAATAAAATTATTGAGTGATTCTCTTAAGTTACACGAGTCATACACTGGTTGTTGGGTTTTATTCATTACGTACAAATGAGATAGTTGTGTACAACCAAGTCTAAAACGTGTTATTAGTACTTATGTTTTCCGTTTTTGTTATAAAATCTGCTATGGTTTTACTAAGTATTTAACGGATCTAAGTTTATTTGTTGATACATTTCACCGATTTTGCCCTTACAGCAGATAAGACTAGAAATATAATTCAATGTATTTTGTTAGGTTTAAGCGGGGTCATTACTTTAGACATGAGGGGAGAGAGGTAGGTATTTCATTCTCAATTGCGTACGGTTTGAAAGGTGGCGTGGGATTTGCGAACGTGGGATTTTCGAACAGTGGGATTTGCGAACGCTACCTTACAGGTAATTTTTTATTAAGTTAAATTAGCGTGGACTTTATTTTTGTATTCTAATAAATGAGTAAAATATTAAACATTTATAATATTAATAATATATATTAAGCAAAATTATACAGAGTATTTAAAAAAAACCAACTACTATTTATAACAAGAAACAGAAATAATCCTTCCTAACTATAACTAATAAAATAACTCAAAATTTTGAAAATATTAAAAAAGAGAATTTTATATACAGGGTGAATCATAAATAATGGGCCAAATTGCAATTGTAGGTTCAGAAGTTAAAAATATTAGTATTTTTGCCTTCTGAATCTACAGTTACAATTATTTATTCCATTATTTATGACTCACAATGTATAGTTACACTTTGACAAAAAACTGATTTAATCAAATTTTTGATTGTAACTTAACACTCGAAGACAATTCAAAATATTCCCATCTTGGTCTAGCTTATTTAGAGCTTCATTAATTTTCTGGTCCATTTTTTGGTACATTCTTTTCCTTTTGTTTTGAGGAACTCCTCAATTTGTTTAAGAATAAACGATGAATGAATTGCTTCTTCCCTTAATTTCCCTACCAAATAATAAATATTTGGAGTATTTCTTCCAACAAACTTATTCATACGTCGGTGCCAGCCCTCAACAACATTGTTAGTTCTGTGACGTTGTTTTGATACGTTCCAAACATCGATATTCATTTTATCGTTGTCAAGCCACTGGTCTATGAAATAATCTGCAAACTGGCGCAGCTTATCTAACTCTGGTGCTTCTCCAAAAATAGCCAACCAACCATCCACCACAAATTCCAATGGAATTAAAGACAGAGCACCACACATTCTACAAAATCTCTTAATTTCTTCATTTTCTCTGTATTCCCTAGCTAGCCCAATTTCTTGAATTGTCCTCCAGAGACACTGCATAAAATGAAAATTGCATCCAGAAAGTTTCGTAGTTCTGTTCACACTACGAAGTGCATTTATAGCCGCAACTTCGAAATCAATTTTTATTAAATTTGGTTTCCATTTCGGTGCCCAATTTTTAATAGTTTGAAATAATCTTTTGTAAGTTGCTTCCGTTTTCCTTGGCAGTAACGCAAAAATAATCGGCTGGACGTTAGTTTCTTCGTGGTTGCTTCCAGCGTCTATGTGTATACTATATAGCTGAACAAACTGAGCTGAACATATATCGAATGTTCCATCCATAAAATTAATGCTGGCGCTTTCTAAATTCCATCTAGCATTTTCTACGCCAAATATAAAAATTCTTTCGCCTTCGATGGTCGAGTCATTAATTAGAAAACTGCTTCCGTCGGGTGAATTAAAAAAGCTCAATTAGCGTCCGTTTTTTGGGACCAAATTTTAAGTATGTCAATTAGCCACCTCAACTCTTTTTATCAATAAAAAAAAAACACTTCATTATACACTGACTTACATAAAAAATTGACAGCGCTGATGGTCGACCTGCCAACTACAGTCAATTAATAAAAAAAAAAAATTGAAATTGAAATTCAACCATTGCCGATTCGCCTGCTTCTCTTTAGTCTTCATATTAACCACACTGCTATTTCATTTTTTTTTATTGAGTAGTTGATAAACGTTTAATTAATCTTAATTTTTAGATATAAATGCAATCATTTATTCAAAATATTCTATAAACACGTTACCGGTTATCTCTTATTCATACAAAAGTTGACCCTTCTCAACAAATCGACTACCAATATGGATAGCAGCTAGTCATCGAATCATACCTTTTGATTCCTTTAAACCAATTACATATCCTTTTTTACTTTATCAATCTTAGAGCAGTCAATTTTGATTTGTTTCTTAAGGATCTCGTTAATCTCACACAAGCTTTCCACAAGCTTAAAAACAGAATCCAGAATGGATTCAGCAATTTCTAGACATTAAAATATATATTTATTAAATAAATTTATAGCATTAACAACATTTCAATTTGATCTTTATCAATTATCAACATAAAACTAACTTAAAATAATACTTTGTAAAACTAACTATTAACTAAGGTCTCAGACAATAGTTTCCCTAGATTTCTGTTACATTTTGTGTAGTTATTAATGTATATTCTAACAAGGAAATTGCTCTGTTTTTGTCACTATCACTACACCAACTGAAAAGGCTTGAGTTATGAGCTTTCTCACTGATCCTATGGGGACAAAGAACTGGATTACCTAGACATTGGTGTGTTGCTGGAGTTATAGTTCATGACTCATGGAAAACTTGGCTTTGTCTTATTTAACAGTATTTATATCCAGATCCTTATGAATGTCACTGTTTAGGGTGTACCCAGGTGTATTCATGATGGCTCTCAGAACCTTATACTGAATTATTTGAATGATTTCTTGTATACTTTGAATACTGCTGAATACCATTAGACTAAACCAATTTGAGTATATGCATTTTGCTATACTAAGAATTAGGCATTCCAAACTGAATGGCTACCAGTGGGTTTTGACAGGTTATGATATGGCAAAATTATGGCAACCCTGTGCGCCTGGTGATTTGACAAGGTCAATGAAATAGATAGTTAAATATAAAGATTATCCATATTTTTTAAAATAAACATAAGCTTATGCCTTGAAGTAAAAAAGTAAGCAATTATTATTTTTTAAATATCTAAAGGCTGAAAATTGGTTTTTAAACCCCTTTTTTGCAAAACCGATTCAAATTATTAAATATTTTCCTGGCAATATGGCCGCTCGCAAACGGCCAGCTTTGAGCAATTTATACCTATAAGTCAAAGACAATACAACATAGAGACAAAATGTTTCATTCATAAATCTCATACAATTGCGGACTGTTATTGTTTTAAAATTGTTAGTGAGTGGAAGAGAGAAAGACAGATCTCTTAGGATCGGCTGGCAACGTTGTAAATAGTGTCCATAATATGCCCTCGCCAGTGGCGTAGAGTTTTAAACTTACCAGTATTGTCAGTGTAGTATGTTAAAAAAACACGTAAATAAGTAGGTTTATTTTTTAGTTATATAATTATGATTTTTTCATGTAGGTAAATTCAAGTACAAGTAAATTTTAAATACAAGAGAATTCAAGTTACTTTCCGATTTTTAATATTTATTGGTTTATAGTTTATTGGCATTTACTATATTTGCCTGGTAAGACGTAAACCAAAATTATTTAAAATTTAAATTAACAATAAGTAGGTAGTGGTATTTAAATAAAACACTGTCCTAAAAAGATATAATTTTTTAATTAATAATTACAAAAAAAACAGTATGGCAAAAAATATCGTAAAAAAACTGTAAAAATTTTTAAAATTACGTTTTAAATATATTAAATATCTTAATTTTATTAACTAAAATTTCACTTAATTTTTTATGCTTAGATATTAGTGTTATTACTTACTGCAATGTTTTTTGCTGCAGGTGGTGTTCCAAAAACATTTAAATCAGAACTAAAAACCCATACATTAGATATACATACATATAGGTAATAAATATGTTTAGAAGTAAACAAAAAATTAATATTTTGTATTTTTACCTGTTGGATAAGTCATAAACTCTAAAGTCGACCGTTTTCGAGAAAAAACAAATTTTGTTTCATCAAGTAGGTTTTAAATTTCAAAACAACATTAAAATGTTTCTCCAAAACGGTCGACTTTAGAGCGTATGACCAAGAGTACCTTTTTTGTGTAGAAAACATTAGCGGTTCAAATGGGCGTCTCAAAACTGTACTTTTTCCAGTGACGTAGAATTTTGTTTTTCAATTTCAACACCCTGTATCTCGAAAATAGTCCATTTTAGAGGATAAGTTAATAGTAACGTTTTTTCATATTTTTGGACGAGATATTACGTCCTAAAGTCCTGCGCATATATTATAAAACACCCTGTATAGGTATAATTGACCCTGTTAATGACAACATGACAAAAATCTAAACTATCAGTTACCACTGGTAGTCATTTGGTCAGATGGTTGGAATGCCTAATAGTATTTGATTATTTATCAATTAGGCTTTTAAGTTTTATGCTGTTTATATCTGTTATTAAACTTTACGTGAGTGGATTAATATTTGTTTATATTGACTCTCCACCTTTTGGTCTATTTATCCATTTAACTGATTGATGCTTATAATATTTCTGCTTCTTTTTGATGTCTACTTCCTACCAGGTATCTTAAGCATGAAATTACCAAAAAAAAACGAGGTTTCAAAAGGCTTATTTTTAGTGTTTTTAGTGCATCGAGAGTTACAGACAAAATAAATAATGTCTCTGCAACATTACTGTTTCCATGTAAAGGTCCATTGAAAAATATGGATTAAAATAGAATTAAAGGATTTTTTCACATACAAGTATGAAGATGAATGCTGGATAAATGAAATTAAAGTTGTGTTAATGTTATAATTTGTTGTGTTATTAAGTTAATAGTATTATTATTGAAATTGGCAGATAAAGATTAATATTGATGGTCTGACAATTTTAATATATACAGGGTGTGGAAAATATTCAGCACCTATAAATGTTAAAATTCCCATGAATGGAATAGAATCGTGGTTACTCCTGTAATTGGGATCAAGGCAGGGTACTACAAGATTGTTCTATATGTTCTGGAAACTGTTAGTAAATGTAGTTAGGCAACAAATTGTTAATAAAATATTTATGTATTTTAATAAATGTTTAGTTTGAGTAAGGAAAAAACCTGAAAGAAAATTTTGAACAAAAACGTTTTTCAAAGTAGAAAATTTATTTTTTTTTGGCAATAAATAACATTAAGAAGAAGTTTAATTATTGGTTTTGCATGGGTTCGTGGGAAATATTGATTGCCACGCAGTGACATTAGCGAGAAAGACAATCGTTCAAGTTAATTAGAGACAGATGTTATATATGTGAATCTAGATATTTTATACACACCAAATTGCTATCTTCATTTCAATACCACGTATGAGTAAATGTAACGATTGGAGAAAGACGAAAAAACTACTAACCTATTAATTCATCAAAAATACTCAACATTATTTTTAATTCTCATGCCTGTGATATTAAAATCATTCGATGGAGCGTCTACAATAGGTTCCGAACCAGTCTTTAACTTATTCTGTCAAAAATTCTAATACGAGGTATTGAAATGGAAGTAGCGCTATCGTTTTCAGAATAAAATTGAAGAAACTTTGTTTTTCAGGTCCACCTGATCCGGAAAACGATTATAAGATTAATTTTACTTATGTTCGGACAAAAGGATTTTGGAAAGGTGTAGAAGTATGCCACTCAAATTTTAAACAGTGTATCATTGGACTGGACAGTATTGGAATAAAAAATAGTTTTCTAACAATATTAAGAGCAAACGGTAAGAATTATTTTTTAAACAGTGCGCTTCTTCGAGATTTTGTGGTATTTTGAATTATTAATAATTACTATTTGCTAAATAGTTTAAAATAATTTTTATAAAATAAATATATTGTCTCAAATAATAACTTGTGAATTATGCCAATAAACTAGCTGGATTTTTTATTACAAGTATATTATTTAAAAAAAAAAACATTACTTAATTATAATAAAATCATTTATCAATAGACGATGGCAATCCTCAAAAGTAGTTTAACCTTTGTAGGGTAAAAGACAAATTTATTATAAGTTGGGTAAAATTCAAAATTTTGAGCAGAAGGCTTATTGCTTGGGTGGGAATTTATTCTCCAAAAGAAGCTATTGGCATTTTTTTAATTGCCTAAGTTATCCGTCTCTTCATCTGTAACATCATAGGCACACTCATTTACCAAAGTTTCCATTTTTTTGTCAGACAACGCTAAAAAAATACAATCCTATAAAGGACAATGGGCAAAAATGTATGGGAAATTGCCCCACCTCCAATAAGGATAAGTTAAATATCAATTAAAAGATCTTTTTAAGAAGAACATTTTTCTTCATTACGATTTATCTTAATTACTTGTCCGTTCCGAGTTATACCATCCTAAATGTAACTAATTGCAAGATAGGCCAGTGCTTATATTCTGTTATTGTAGTGCTTATTACCGGAAAATAATAGTAATCATTACTTATTAGTAATATATAAACAATAACAATATCCGGGTATATCATAAGATGCTGTCGAGGATTTTATCCGCCACGTGTATCCCTTACCAAATGGCCTATACGTGTTGGTTACACAGCCCCACATATGCTCTCCAAACGGACCGGGACCAATGGTTTAAGACCAAGGAAATGGACTATCATAATAATACAATCATAAATATTATTACCCCATTAACATTAGAACGAATATAATGCCACTTGTAACACATACAGGGTGGGGCATCCTATACGCGTTGGTCCAGACTATGACATGATTTTTTTCAAATTACTTTTATACAGAAAGATGAATATCTGTTGGAGCTCTAATTAAAAAATATTTTGGAATTTACAGTGTGCTTCAAAAAGTTTCCAGCTAAAAAGCATTAATATTGAAGAATTTTAAACATTACAACCGTTTTAATTACCTAATACAATATAATATCAATACAAAATAAACGTAATAAGTAGAAAGCAATTTTCATGCTAGCTAGTACATGGCTCGCATGAAAAATGCCTTTCAGCTAGAAGAAAGTTAGATTATATCATCTATAATTTGGCAACTATGCATTTTTTCAATTCGAGATTTAAGTTTCTGTTTAGTTATTACAATGACAAGTATCCCTATGGCAACAGTTGTTCCGAAACTGATTTCAACGAAAGTTTAAATAAATCATCTATAAGAAGGCAACTATGCATTTCCATACTATTGAATTTGGGTTTTTTGTTTGGTCATTACCATGATAAGTCTCCCTATGGCAACAATTTGTCCTTAACTGATTTCAGCTAAATTGAATTATCTATAACTTGACAATTACGGGTTTCCTCACCATATGATTTGGGCTTTTGTTTAGTCGTTACCATAACAAGCGTCCCTATGGCAACAGTTTCCCCATAACTAATTACAGCTAAACTGTGTTTGGGTGTCTTGTCACATACAGTGTTTCTACTTAAGTTGGAAACGTATGGGAAACTTTTTTATTATTGGTTTTATGAAAAAATTCATTAGGAATACATGGTCCAAAACTTAAAATGCAACCATCAGATATAATTTTTTTTAAGCAATATGTCAAAAAATATGAATTTTACTCAAGAGTAAAGTATTTATTTTTTACAATACAGGAGAATGTTATAAAATAAAGGTATTATCAATAAAAAATATGCAATTATGCCCATTTACCATTAAAATTCAGGTTTGGTGATTATTTATAGCTACAAATAATTTATAATAAGGATTATATTTAGTATCTTTTAATATTCTTTGCTTATTCCAATTTCGTGTGCCAAATCTCTGATAGAAACATGTGGATTTACATGAACGTAAGCCAAAACAAGTATAATATTTTCTTCATTTCTAATCATTCTGTTGTGTCCTCCATGATGTTTACCGTAAGAAAAATGTCCTTGTCTAAGACTTCTTTCTAAATTGGAAAACGTTCTAACTGAGGGAATTGTTCTATTCGGAAAACGTTCATAGTATAATCGTCTAGCTTGTCTTGAATTCTTGCAACATTCGCCGTAAATAATTATCATATCGGTGTACTCGTTGGAACTAAACACAGTAGGCATTTTGAAATAATTTGTTAGGACTTGACAAACTCTAAATTATTGCAAACTTTATCAAATAAAAACTGCTAATTTTATCAAGTATTCAAGCTGCACTTCTGTTTGACAAGAGACAGATTGATATAGTATTGTTTAAAATGCGCTAGAAAACTTACCATGACTTTGACAGCAAGCAACTTGATAAAAATAAAAAAAAACGAATCTCACTTATTTATGGAGCGATTTTAAAATTTTAAAAACAGTTGTAGAGAGAAAAGTAGCGACTACAAAAATGAGAAGAAAAAACTAGGGTGTCGTTAATAATTTTTGAGGGGGTTGTTCCAGGGGATTAGTTTTTGAGGGTGAGTCATCAAATTTTTATTTGTTTCAAAGTACACCGCCAATTATAATGGATGACTTTGGTCCGGTTCGATTATCTTGCATGGTTTAAAATTTATAGCATGGGTAAAACAATTTGGGACACCCTGTATATATATATATATATATAAATATATATATATATATATATATATATATATATATATATATATATACAAATCAGTAGGTACCAACAAGAATTCAGAATACTAAAAGACCAAATAATTAAAAATTTGGACAATTTGAATTTGATTATGACATTTGATAAGATTTTAAATAAACTTACATTAGAATTTTTAGATAATAAATTGCAATATTACTGATTTTGTCCACAATGATTAGTTAAATAGAAATTTATTACTACTCATTAGATGAGCAGATATTTTAAAAGGGTTTATTTATAAAATAATTGATAGGGGTAAAAAATGTTGAAAAGAACAAACTTTGTTAGTTATTACAGCAGGTTTTTTAAAACCTTTTAATTAAAAATAAGCCCGTGTTAAAATATTCCAGTTTTCTAAATAAAAATAAAAAACCCTTATCTAATTTACCTAACCTGGGCGGCCTGAAGCCATCGTAGGTTGCTTAAAAAAATGACATAACTTCTGTGGTCTGGAGCCATATACAGCAACCCATCAAGGTTCCAGGCCGCACAGGTTAGGTAAATTAGTTAGTTTTTTATTTCTAATTAGAATACTGGCATATTTTGTCACTCATTAATTTGTTTAAATTTTTTTTTAAACAGCCCTAACTTGACACACTATAATTAGACTAACCTTTCATTGGTCTCACTTGATTTATATCAAGCGGTAACTTGTCTCTCATGTACTTGTCTAGATGCAAATTTGTTGCAGCAAATTTGTTCCAGGCGAAATTGTTTTACGCTAAATAGGGTCAGTTTCTAGAATGTAAGAAAAATGGAGCTACATTTTAAACATTATCTACATAGATGTCGCTGCATCAGTATTTGTTACGCATTATTTTAATAAATTTTATTAATTTAAAAGAATAACTTGTTCGTTGTGCGCTATTTTGTCCTTGCGTCATTTTGTTTTACACTATTTTTTCCCGCGCTATTTTGTTCTGCGCTATTTTTCCTACGCTAGTTTGTCTGCCCTATTTTGTCCTGCGTTATTTTGTCCTGCGCTGTTTTGTCATGGAGCTCTATATAATATTTAATTCCATCAAAAGCCTCAAATCCGACCCAAAAATATTCACAAAAATTTTTACGATTTAGCTTAAAACGTCACTTCGGTTCAAGCAACTCTTTGGTTTTGTTTTGTCATGTTTTAGAACATCCTATATTATGAGCACATATATTTCGAATAGGACAAAATTACTTTCTTTTTATGCTGCGAAATGACAGATAAATAAATTTTCCACATGTATCCAAATGTATGATGACGCTGTATATTATAAAGTTAATAGGCAAATACGGGTAATTAGCTAAACTTATGTAGAAAGGTGAATAAAAATATCTATAATTTATAACATCGTCCCCTTGTCTTTTTTTACCCCTTTAGTGTGTTTTTGGGAAATATACATATTTTTTTTAATCTTGACGAAGTTTAATTTAATACCCCCATTTTAGCTTATAGCCTATAGCCTATAGCCTATAGCCTATAGCCTATAGCCTATAGCCTATAGCCTATAGCCTATAGACAGATTAAAAAACGGAATCAAACATGTTTAAAATGATCTAATACACATAAATAAATTGACCTCAAACAACATTTTTCTTGATTTTAAAACTATCACAAAAGCTCCCATAAACTACGTATGCTGAAACATTTTCATATTTTACATTAGTCTAATCAATAAGTTCAAAAGCGTGCTTTTGGAAAATACTATTACGAAAATTATGTGCAATAGCTCATTTGATTCGGAATAATGTCTAGATAAATGTGTAAAGAATAATTTTACAGTGCATAAAAAATTGCAAAAGTTATAAACAATTAAACAGCTCAAAAACATGGTGTTTGGTTTTTCGCCTATAGTTTGTAAACTATAATTATTTTTGGATTTTTCAAAAAAGACCCTTAAAGAGGAGGAATTTTGCTATAAATAAGTTTTGACTCCCAGAACTGTACCTCCATTATTTATAATTTTAATTTAACGCTCAAAGTAGCCTTCCGTGCGCCATTTTTAGGTTGCGCGCACGGCGCCGAAACCGAGTACGTTACATAAAATAATTTTTTTAAGTTAATAAAATTAAATTCAAAAATTTAAAAAAATTACGGTGTATTCTAAACACTTAGAGGAATTCATTCCTGTTAGAGTTTTTTATAAAAATTAATTTTCCAACAAAGTAGGTTATTGTTAATTAACAAAATTTTTAGAATTTCTTTCATCATTACA